GCCTTCTCTCCCACCATCATCGAGTCTTCAGTGCTTCTGGTCCCCCCGTCAGTTTGCAGATGTGGGCGCAATTCCCCTCACCCGGAGCACTGCCTCAGTTCCTGGCACATCACCTGAGCTGCCCGCAGATTCTCAACCGTCCCACCTCAGCTCAGCCCCCTTCCTTCTGGTAGCCTGACCTGACCGCCAGGGTCACTGCCCCTTAACCCACCTGCCGTGTACCTCCCACCCAGCCCTGAAGACCTGGAGAAGCCATTTGCCACTGCTTGTCCCGGAAGGCCAGTTCCTGTGCCTGGTCTGCGAGGCTGACAGCAACCCCCCTGCCACACTGAGCTGGTTCCAGGACGGAAAAGCCCTGAGCCCCTCCCAGCCCTCCGCACCAGGGGTCCTGGAGCTGCCTCACGTAGGAGCTGCAGACGGAGGAGAGTTCACCTGCTGGGCTCAGCACCCGCTGGGCTCCCAAAACACTTCCCTCAGCCTCTCTGTGCAGAGTGAGTTGCAGGACAGGTGCTGGGGAGGGCACCCAGGTCAGTGTTGGGGCCATGGGAGGGACTGGTACCTGGGGACACGACTTCACGAGACTCTGCTCTTCCCCAGGAAGCCCCACTCCCTGCAGATGCGTGCCTGAGGAGCAGCAGGGCTCCTGGCCCGTGGTCCTCACCGTGATCAGAGGGTCCCTCATGGGGGCTGGCTTCCTCCTCACCTATGGCCTCACCTGGATCTACTACACCAGGTGAGCAGGTCTGCCCTCTCCAGAGAAGTCTGGCTCTTGGCCCCTGGGTTCCAGGTGGGGCTGAGCTGTCCCCGGCCTGCCTGGAGTTACCGTTACAGCGGCCAGCAGACTCTGAGCTGAGGCTGTGCTGGTTCTGCAGGTGTGGAGATGCCCAGAGAACAGGGCCGAGATCCTGACTGAGTCTCCCTCCTTCTCGAGGATTTGTTTAATCAACACCACCAAAATTAGAATACAGAATAATTCCATTGTGCCAAATATTCCCTTGTTCTCTACCTTGGTTACACGTTCCAACGAGCACTAACCCCCGGCAACCATCCATATGTCCTGCGTAACCAAGAGTTCCAGCTCTTTGAGAATGTCATATAAATGGAGTCACGCGCTGAGTAACTTTTTGAGACCGACTTCTTTCACTCAGCACAGCCTTTGAGATTGACAATAGTTCATTTCTTTGTATCGCCAAGTAGTGTTCCGTTG